AGGGGATGCATATGGTGAATGAAGAAGAGGGGACGACGTCAATATGCGTGTCTAGCAGAATGTCTGTGGCAGACGTTTTGAGCTGGTCCACGTTTCTGACCTCCCCGTGCGTTCTAGTTTTGACATGGGTGGGCGTCCGTCCCCACGGGTGGTAAAACTTTAACAAAATATTGGATATAAGAAAGGGTGCCTATGATTTCCAGGAGTGCATAACTTCACCTTGGCTCTGGGGGGAAACCTGCTGAGGCAGGCCTCGCTACGTCGTTACTCAGCCGAAAGCCCAGATATGCGTGTGTCCAAGATTGGAGACTAGGTCAGGAGAAGTGGTGTGAACATTTATGTATGCATTTTTTTCACGGCTGAACTTGATTTATATGCATGGGCAACTTTTCAAATTAGACACACGTCTGCATGTCGATGGGTTTGCGCCTGTCAGTTGACATATATGGGATGTACCTATTGGGGACTTGAGCATCCACATTCTATTGTTTCTCGTCATGCCAATTAACCGGGCATTACGATGTCGTGAGGTTTATCATCAAGAGGGTTGATATGACCGTTCCATTTTGACGAGACTGTAGCCAGTCCCATTTAATTGAACTTGCTGCTATAGTCTGCTATGCCAAGCAATAGGAAAAACTATAAAGAGTAATAGTTTTATTGTCAGAAGAATGGGCCACCCCTACATTATCATCGCAACGTTAGAATCCTTTTTGATACGATCTAACTAGACAGGAGGATTACCCAAAAGGGTTTTGTTCAACATTTTCCCCGTTTACCAGACCTCACATTATCAGATGTTTTTGCTATGGGAATACCTAAAGACTAGATCAACACTAGGAAAACCTGAACAATCCCTCAATTAAGGGAAGCCAGTGAACATGAACTTGCGCCCAAATTCCAAGGGAATTGTTTCATGCTGTGAGTGAATCAATTGCTTCGCGTTGTCAGCAAATTCTGGATCAAAATAGACGTCACTTTGAGAACGCGCAGTGAAAAACCAATAAAAAGTACTTATAACTATGCTTGCATTTTTATAAGCTCCAACTTTGCGATTATTTAAAATGTGTTTGCATTTTTGAAACATCCTGTACTTAGATGAGAGCATAAGGTGCTCTAGGTTTCCCGAGACTTTTCGACAGCGTACAGCCTTCGAGATTAATAGGTAACAGTGGTACCCCGCGTCAATGTAAACGTAGGTGCTGCGAACATTATATAGTGCAAACCGCGGTACAACTATCACACGTATTTATCCACTCATGAGGAGAAAAAGCGAAAACTGAACGCATGAGGAACCTCATTCAAAAGGGAAACTATTAAAGTGCTTGCCATGCAGCGATTGTTACATAGGCCAAATAAGTCTCCCTATATTCAGACGATAATCACGACAATTAGTTTCTAGGCGGTGATGAATCGACACTGTTGCACATGCCTCCGTGCCCATGGAATCCTTCGAAAGACCCTCTTTAGCCCTTCTACAGTCTGACGCAATGGACTGCATGCTAGCCTAAAAAGTATTTTAATACGTCCTTGCGAGTGCCAGATTATTAGGCACGTCATCCGAATATGCACTCTGCGTTAAATAATTTCACAGCATACGTGGACCAAGAAAATATATTTCGATTAGTGCCAGTCTTTGGAATCAGTGTTTCGAGATCCAACGCGGATCTCTTAACGTCATTCGAATAAGATGAGGTCCCAGGAATCA